AAAAAAGTTCTGTTGCGATTCTTAATCTTTGACTCTTATTGTGTTTTCTTCGTTCTGTTTCTTAAAGGTATGGTTGAGACTGAACCTGAAGGTGCACTTTCTGGGTTTGCTGAGGTTGTTAAGATGGAACCAGACAAGGCTGAGTGGTAAGATCCAAGATAATTTCTCTTTTCATAAGATTGTTGTAGCTCTAGAGAATACTAGATTTGTGTGTTTGGCTGCACTTATAAGTAGGTTTTGAAGGTAACCATAGTAGAAGAGATAGAGATCATTACAGTGTCATATAACTTGTTGAGTCACTCGATTTCTGTTTTTCTTTTCAAAACAAAACATCAGTTTCCAAAGTTTCAATGCCTCTATTACTTGTTGAACCGTTATATGTGTGTTTGAAGTTTTTGTTAATGGATTAACCATTCCATGGCTTATTTCTTTGTCAGGGGTTTCAAAGCTCTGAAGCAGACGGTGAAGATTTACTATCGTCTAGGTAAATACAAAAAGATGATGGATGCGTATAGGGAGATGCTTACGTACATCAAGTCAGCAGTGACCCGGAACTACAGCGAGAAATGTATAAATAACATTATGGATTTCGTTTCTGGATCTGCTAGCCAGAACACTGGCCTTCTGCAAGAGTTTTATCAGACCACTTTGAAAGCTCTTGAAGAGGCTAAGAATGAGGTCTGGGAACGTTTTCTTTGTTTTTGTATATGATAATACAATTTCTTCTTCTCAATGGTTCGGAGATGTGATATATTGGTTTCTTTCGCAGAGACTCTGGTTCAAGACGAACCTAAAACTCTGCAACATCTGGTTTGACATAGGCGAATACAGACGAATGAGCAAGGTATGACTTGGTTTAAGCAAATCTTTTCTTTGAAGCTGATTATGCTTAGAGATTTTAGTATCAATAACAACTCTCTACTGTTGGCCAGATCCTGAAGGAGCTCCATAAATCTTGTCAAAAGGAAGATGGAACGGATGATCAGAAGAAAGGAAGTCAGCTGCTTGAGGTTTATGCAATTGAAATTCAGATCTACACGGAAACAAAGGACAACAAAAAGCTTAAGGTAATGATCATCTGCTCCATGGTTTTTACCTCGAAGTCGTTTTGAGAATCTGGTTTCTTTTGGCTTTTGTGACTGAGACGCAACCAACACTTTTTGAATTGATGCAGCAACTATACCAGAAAGCACTTGCCATCAAATCTGCTATACCTCATCCTAGGATCATGGGTATAATCCGCGAGTGTGGTGGAAAAATGCACATGGCAGAACGTCAGTGGGCAGAAGCAGCCACAGACTTCTTTGAGGCTTTTAAAAATTATGATGAAGCTGGCAACCAAAGGCGTATTCAGTGCCTAAAGTATGTTTCCTATTATCTTCTCATCTCTTTATCCTTTCCTATCTGATATCCTCTTTGTCATTTGATTGGTTTAAAAGTAAACAAACAAGATCTTGCTTTTTGTCTAGTGGTTTGTACAAGTATCTTAGAGTTGTTGAACAAGGCAAAACAGGATCTTGCTTTTTGTATCGTGGTTTTTCCAAGTATCTTTGAGTTATTGAATTCTGGTATTCTTATTTGGCTTTGCAAAGGTACCTTGTTCTTGCGAATATGCTGATGGAATCAGAGGTGAATCCATTTGACGGGCAAGAGGCAAAACCGTAAGTCACATTTCCCTTATATTAGTATGGAAACCCATTTTGGCTCTTTGCTTCATGATTAGCTTTTTCTGCAGGTACAAAAACGACCCTGAGATCTTGGCAATGACAAATCTGATAGCAGCATATCAACGAAACGAAATCATCGAGTTTGAGAGGATACTGAAGGTAATAAAAGCCAAGTATTACTGGGACTTTATTTCCACATATATCTAAATAACGTTATTCATGAAATGGTTTTTGGAATGTAGAGCAACCGAAGGACGATAATGGATGATCCATTCATCAGAAACTACATGGAAGATCTGCTGAAGAAGGTGAGAACACAAGTGTTGCTAAAGCTGATAAAGCCATACACAAAGATCGGGATTCCATTCATATCGAAGGAACTGAACGTGCCAGAGAAGGAAGTGACGGAGTTGCTTGTGTCTCTGATACTCGATAATCGAATCGATGGGCACATTGATGAAATGAACCGTTACTTGCTGAGAGCTGACAGTGCCAACGGAAGGAAGTTGCACAAGGCGGTTGATAAATGGAACACCCAGCTCAAGTCTCTTTCTCTCAGTATCACCAACCGAGTCTGTTAATTTGCCCCCACCCTCTCATTCGGATTGTTCGTTTTACAATGCTCAATCATTTTATATTTTGTGGATTATTTGTTTCTTCACTTAGCTGGATTTGATGAAGCTAATGCAAGTTACCTTTTACTCCTAAAAGTCAGGCTCCTACTTTCTCTTATCTTACTAGAGTCTCTATCTACATAAAGTGAATTCACAAGCTTTGGTTACAAGTACAGATTTTGAGTTTAAGCAGCTTTTGAAAACGTTTAAAGCAAGGATGCTAAATCGATAGTTTTGGATGAGCAAATGTGGAATAAGTTTTAATAATTGTCAAGATTATTACTCTTGTCTTCAGCATATGCGTATTTGTGATGCTAAAATTTCTTTCCATGTTTAAAAAAAAAAAACGCATAAAAGATGAGAATGTATATTGCCACCCGTTTTTATGCTGCAAAAGATTATTTGAACCAGTGTTTAATGTACTATCTTGTAAGATGCGTGAGATTATGAATGGGTTGATGAATTTATTTGAAAAATTAAAAATCAAAGTAGCAAAACAAAAAGCTCTTTGAAGAGCTTAAAATTTCTAGGGAACTTGAGGGCAACGTTTCTTGATAAATGGCTCCAATATGCAGCCATTTTAAGACTTATTGCTTCTTGTTGAGATGTTATAACTTATAAGACTTTATTGCGTAGATGTTTCCGTGTATCATTGAAGTTCTTGAACAAATCCAGAATGAAAGCATAAAACTTTATTTTTTATATACAGATGATGATGCTTGTATTGCATAAGCTTAGAGATAATGGATTGGAAGAATTTTTGGCTAAATATATTCTTTTATTGAGAAATATAAAATTTAAGTGCCGAATATGGAAGGAGAATTGATTCAAGAAGGCCAAGGAAAAATACTCTCATAACCAACTTGCACCATCTTAGATATGCAATTTCAAGAGTTTAGTGATCGCTAGGTAAATTATGAACTACTTGTTTGTATGATATCCTTCAATTCCATTGATTCTTTTCGTCAAGTCAATGTTGGTGAGATTGACTGAGTTTTATCCAAATGGCTTTAGTTTGGTGGAGCGGAGATTTCTTGATCATCAGACATCTACTTTGATAATATGCTAAATGGTGAAAGATTTACTAATCTAGAATTTTGGTGATCTTACTCGTGTATTGGTGGAGAAAAAAAACATCTTTATCATCCTTTTATTTATTGTCTTTTGATTCTTCCTATTGCAACTGCAAAAGTATTTCTTGAATATTGTGAAGACGATCTCGCATAATAGTATTATTGACAATTTCTTAAGCGATTATCTAGTTTATTTTATTGAAAAACAAGTACTTGACAATATGAGTGAATATATCATTGAGAGGTGATATATATATTTCAATTAAGTTTATGCAATTATTTTCAACAAAATTATTATGGCCCCAATATATATTTTTCCTGGCTCCGCCACTTATAGGAGTGATGGAACGGCCAAATGCTCAATATTGTCTTGTGGAAGTTTATTATTAACTAGAGGGTGGAGTTGTTCAATCAGCTATAAACATAGTAGCTTTTCTCATTGCCCAAAGTGACACAAAAAATTCACCGTTGTCAAATGTCAATCTTATATTCTTATATAGCCACATAAAACATTCTTGGTTACTCGAGCTCTTTGGAGAAGGTCTCATCCTTTATTTAATGTAGCTTGTTCTCCCTTTGTTCTTTTGGTGAATGTTTATGTAGTTTCACTTATTGTGTGAATCTATGGCTTAGGCTCGTGATGTTTGTAGTTGGACAATCGTGACTGCTCTTCAGCTTTTTTGTACAGTAGCTAATGAAGCAACGTGACCTGTGGTTGTCCTTATATGGCACGTGCAACAGCTAAGCAGACCTTGATTTTCTGTTACAATATAATAACCAAAACAAAGCAGAAAGAAACTTCAGAGTTATTATAATAACTTTGCAACATTGTCCACTTTCACAATTTTGAAATCCTTGCTAAAAAATGAACTTAACTCTAAATAAACACGAGTTAAGCATTGATGATCTGTACTTTTATATTGCCTTTTAGGTGAAAAGATTAGCCATCTCTCTGAACTAAGTAGATGAAATTCAATCAGTGAAGTTGTCAGTATCGTTATAAGTAGATGACGTTCAATCAATGAGATTGCCATACCATTCAAACTATTTTGTAGAGTATGAGACTGTGGTTAAAACAAAGTAATTTATTTATAGAAGGTTTGTATATGTATTTGTTGTTGTAGCCGGGGCTGTTTTCTTAAAATAAAAATAATTTATCAGTGGCTTCACCAACCTTATATCACATGGCTTATGGCAAAGTTGTTAATTGTTATATCCCAGATTCACATCTAGAAATTTGTGTTTGTCAGTTATAAACGAAAAATAATAATACAGTCAAACATATCATTCAAGCTCTTTTGTAGAGTATGACTGTGGTTAGAAAAAAGTAATTCATATATGGAAGGTTTGCATATGTATTTGTTGTTGTAGCCGGGGCTGTTTTCTTAAAATAAACAACATTAATCAATTTGTTTTAATTAGTTTCACCAACCATAAATCACATGGCTTTGTAGAGTTGTGAATTGTTTATATCACAGATTCAAATCTATCAAACATATCATTTAAGGTTATATTTATATGGGAATATTTACCATTTCAAACCGCATAATGCGTGTTGGCAACGGAAGAAAAAGTTAATGCATTCACCTAAATACTTTTTTGATAAATATTTATTTTTAATGCACTGACCTAAATAGTTAACACGGTTTTAATTAGCGACAAAAAACACGGTTTTAATTATAAAATAACATTTAAAAGCTACAAACTCACAATTTTCAGTTTCTAAATGATGTTCGAATAAAAACAATAAAAACTAACGTAGCATTTTGAACTAACAAACGTAAAAACAAACGCACACATGCATATTCAGTAATTGAACAATTTATTTGTGAGAATCTTGCTAAGCCTGGGCTCGCTCTTTTCTTTAAGACGTGAAGTTCAAAGTTTAAACTCCTCGACCGAATCGCCTCTGCCTCTGCTGAAACCAAGTCAAGGCCTTGAGATACTCAGCCTCGCCAAAGTCAGGCCATAGAACATTAGGAAAGTAGAGCTCAGTGTAAGCTGATTGCCATAGGAAGAAGTTACTGATCCTTTTCTCTCCGCTCGTTCTGATCAGTAGGTCAGGGTTTGGGAAATCACTACAGCTTGTCATCAACTCCTTGTCCATCAGCTTTTCATCAATGTCCTCCACTTGGATCAGCCCGTTTTTCGCTTTCTCAGAAAGACTTTTGCAGGCTTGTAAGATATCAAATCTTCCACTATAGTCTATCGCCATAACGAGATGCTTCTCTTTGTAGCTTTTTGTAGCTTCTTCTACCTCTCGTATCAAACCTAAAAGCGACTCGGGGATATTCGTTCTTTTCCCGATAACAGATATCTTGATTTTATATCTAAACAAGAACAAACAAAATTAATATAAAACGATTAAAAATCGATGAAAATGACATGTGTGGGTACCTTTGGTAATAAGGCATCTCAGACTTGAAGTTTTTCTCAAACATGGCCATCAAGAAGTTAACTTCATCCTGATCAAAGAAAATAAAACGAGCCGAATCAAAATGATGGAAAGATAAGTAAACTCTTGAAATGTTATGGAAAAATGATCCGCTTCTCTTTTTCATAGTCACCTCGGGTCTTCCCCAGTTTTCAGTGGAGAAGGCAAAGAGCGAGACAGTCTTTACACCCATAGCGAACCATTTCTTGGAATTCTCCACTACTCTTCTCCCTCCTGCTTCGTGACCTTCTGACACTTCCAGCCCTCGTATCTTCGCCCAACGTCTGTTTCCGTCCAATATAATCGCCACATGGTTTGGTATTCTCCCTCGTTTCTCTGTCTCTTCAATTGTTCCACTACAACTTTTGTAAGAACATTAAAGGTTGAAAATTAGAAAGTTAGGAACCAGTTTTGAGCAAAACTCTTTTTCTTGACATGATCTAGTAGAAAGTAACCAGTTTGAGCAAAACCCCTTTTTCTTGACATGTTGAGCTAGATTGTTCGTAGGTTCTGAGATTAGTTAATCTTATATTAATTGAGTTGAGAGAAACCAACTTAGAAACTATGCTTAAATTAAAGAAGCACACTACCTCTCTCCTTCGTCATTGTATTGAGTAGCTCCAGTTTTGATGAACCTGAGGATATTTTTCAAGGAGAGGGGAATACTTTGACGCCTAGAGATGAAGAGACAAGGGATGAGACTAAGAGCAAGAAAAGTGAAGACAATAGAGAGTAGCGACAACATTATCTTTTGTTTTCAATATTTGGTCTAATTGATGATCAATTACTCGTCTATATATAGACAAACTTAATGGCTTCGGATTCGAAGACGTACATGATCATTGCTACGCAAAGACAGATCATAGGTCACATGACATTGATTAATAATTATATCAATGAAGACTCATAAAGTGTGGTATGATCAGAAGACAAATTGTGGTATACCAATATTAATTATGTCGAAGTTAATCGCATAGTCACGCTTTCATGTTTTGTTTGCATGCACAGTTTTTTCTACATTCCATAAAAAGAATAATCAACCAAAGTGGTTTTAGTAGGACATCTATAACGTGCAACACCATTTTGACGCTAAAAGTACATAATTTTGGTGTAAACTTTTTTTTTTTAATCTGAAGTATTGTTATCTATTATAAATTATGAAAATAATTACAGGAAATAATTCTACCAGTTGATAATGATCCTGATAGACAATATTACTTGTATCATATCCATGAGGACCATGAAAGACAATTTTTATGTTTGACATACTAGACTACGGTGAACAGCCTTATTTACACATCACTGAAAATCTCCTATAAATTATGATTATTAATTTGCATTTTTTGGGAATCGAACTCTATATCTTTTGGTGTAGACATATTAATAAATTTGGTTTCAATTGTTGGACCAAGGGGGCTCCTACAAAAAAAAGTCGGAAGCCACTCTTAGTAATCAAACAAGCTCCATTGTTTTTAGGTTTAACACTAATTTGTTTTTTTTTTCTCCAACTACACAACACCAAATATGTATCACACTAAAAAAGAATAATCTCTATTGTTATAATATTAAAGAAATCTAATTATTATTTAATTTTGTTAATATATACCTATTACTCTTATAATTAATTAATTAACTAAAATAAGATAAAATTCAAAAACAAAAGGTCGAGGTAGAAAAACTGAAAGAGGATGACAAAATATTATTCACGAATTTGAGTTCCATAATTGAACCAGCGTGATGTAGGCATATTTAAAATAAAATATTTTCTTTTTCTTTTGAGAAAAAATTGAAAAAAAAAACAAGGTAAATGTTTCCAATACCAATATCATAGAATATTTCCAATACCAATATCATAGAATATTTCCAATACCAATATTATAGATCTCAATATAGAGCATCTTATATCAAGGAGATCAAACTTAAGGAAAATAAGCTCAAGGTAAAGACCAAAGATCCCCAAGTGATCTAGATTTCACTTACTACTATAATTATATTAGTGAAGTCGAAAATAGTTTTTCCTGCAATTAGATTATTATTTTAAGTTTATAGTATGTCTTGTACAACTATCTTTTTGATTTACTTTTTTTATGTTTGTTTAATTTTAATTTAGTTTTTTCCATTGTTTTAGTTAAATCTTATTAAGTATTTTTTAATTAATTTGAATATTAATTTAGATATTTATACAAAATTTAATATTTTAATTGATTAAAAAAATACAAAATTAAATATGATATATTTATTTATAGCTACAAATTTAACTACATATTTTAAATGAAAATATAGATCTTATTTGATATAGTATAAATATATAAATTATTTCAATACTTAATAATCATGAGATGAAAATCTCAATCTAGTAAAACATGTCCAATAAACCAATAGTAAAAAGGCCGACGACGTTAATGATACAAATACAGTGATAACCGGACTAAAAGGTCCAATGGGTGAAGTTTATTGTCAAAGGAAAATAAATGTGAATCTGCTAGTCAACTCTGACGAGATCAAATTCATTCAAACCATTAAATTAAACTGTTTGAACATAACAACTATAACTTCTGAATTAAAGATCTTTCATGAGAAATCAAACAGAATAAATGACAACATTAAGGAATCAGAGTATCAGCAAAGACGGAAGCAAAAAGCAACACAAGTTTTTCCATCCGCAAGTAGCGAACAATGAATATTTCATGTAACATTAAGCATAATAAAAAATTAAAATTAAAATTTGAAAATAAAATAATTAATAATAAAAATTAAAATCTAAATCCTAAGCTCTAATCCTTATATCCTAAACCAAAATCTGTAAACCTTAAAAAAAAAAAAAGTAAACCCTAATCTCTAAACTTTAAAAGAAATTAATAGTAAAAAACTAAACTCTAAACCTTGAACCCTAAATCTTAGACCCTAAACCCTAAAATTTAATCTGTAAACTCTAATAAAATATATTAATATACATATATATTATTTATTTATATATATCTTATTATATAAAGAAGTATGATTCAAAGTTAATAATTTTTCAGAACGTGACACATGAATCGATAAGAATTTGATATGTGTTTAATTAATTTGTAATTATATTTTTAACAAATTTTACTATAAAGGAAATTCTATACTTGCTTCTTAAACCTAAAAAATAAAAACAAAAAATTATTTAGATTAATAAAACAATAAATAAAACAGAATAATAACCACAGTTTATAAAAAAACAGAAAACTATATGTTTCAGTTTAGAATAAAGAAATTAAACAATATATTCCAATGTTAAAAACTAAAATTGAAAAAAAAAATTAATATTTTTGTTTAAATTAAGGAAATTAAAAATAGAATACAAACTTAGAAAGAAAAGAATTTAAATTTTTCACATTAGTTTTATAGCTTCTAAAATTCACAACCAAAAAAAAAAATTTACTAATCTTTTTAGTTTAATATTTTTTACAGGCTATAAGATATAATTATAAATTAGCATATATGATGATACTTATCTAGTTTTTTTAAAAAAAACTTGAGTGAGTGTTTTAATTCCTAGGGATGAACCCGAGAATTTGTTTGCAACTAGGTCTACACTTAAACACTTAACATATCTTTATTCTTGTTTTTGTCAAATCACTCTCCAGATCAAAAAATTAATCCTTTTGTCAAAAAAAAATCTTTTTCAAAATTGCATTTTAATCTGTTTTGATCTCTGTGAGCAATATAGTTTTATTTCTTGATAGTCCTTCAGATCTTGTTTTCACTAAAGATAAATCAATGTTTTTATTTATTTATATTTACGATTTTTTATGGTTGCAATTTGAGCTAAAACAACAATATTAAAATAAATAAAAAATACTTTAAGTCAGAAAACATTCCAAACATACTATTATAATGTGATTTTAGTCGTCTAATTAGAGCTAATATAAACAATAGTATATGTTATACATTTAGATTGAAGAGGATCTTAAGCAACAACGAGAGACTACTTGGAACGCACACTAACATCTAATATCGGCCCAAGAGTCGCAAAACTCATGACGCTTATTTGAAGGTACTTTTAGTTAATTTACTCTAAATCCAGTTTTTTTGTTCTTTTTTTCTTTTCTTGTCATCTGGTAATTTAGTTTCCATCAGGACAAACCCAGAGTGAATTATAGGGAGAAATACACTTAGCCACCAGAACCTCCTCCGGAATCAAAAAGCAGCAGAATATAGGTAAATTCTCGGAAACCAAAGAAAACCAGCACAAAATACTTTATTGAAACGATGAAAGAAATACTTTAACGTAAACTAGATTCTAAGTACGTTCACACACGAGATAGATTGAATTATGATTGTCTTTAAGTGTTTAAGACCAAATATATTTAATTTATAATTTCTAAGCGGTGTAAGTAAGAATTAATTATTTTGTTAATTTATTGTGAGAGATGTTTATAATATACTTCAGAATTAAGTTATATGTCTGTGCAAAATGTAGTTTTTTTTTAAACTAAAATTTTGAAATATACAAAATGGACAAAATGTTTTCAGAGTGAATCTTGAAATACACAAAATGAGAATGAGAAATAAGATATAATTAAATTTTTTTTTTATCTTAATCTTTTTATTTTAATTTATTAGAAAGGGTTGAGATGGTTCTAACTTTTTTTTGCACTATATATTAATTTTTTTTTTGTCATCAGCCTAAGTACATAACAGTTCAATAAACCAAATCAGTGGTACCGAATGTACGATATAATTAAATGCTATATCATATGTTGAATTTGTGATTCTTAAGTTTTAGTAAAAAGATTTGTTTTGCAATATTTATTTTGATATTTATATTATATTTATATTATATTTCTAACCCATACTATGCAAATTAGATTCTAATTGATAGGTGTTGTATGCACAACAATATTGTTTATATATTTTTTTTATATAAAAATGCTTTTTATGTAGACTAAACACTAACAAAAATAATTTGACTTTAATTTTAATAAACAAAGTCATGATCATGTGATTTTTTTAACTTTAAATAATACCAATGTATTTTATCTAATAAAAATGTAAATAGTTTTAAAATTCATATGATATTTCCATATGGTATATATTAGTATAATAGTATAGATGAGTTAGTTAAGTATATATAGATGTAATTGTAATTGTAAATTTTGTTATAATATGAATCTATATTATTACACAACCAATAAATTTTAAACTGAGTTTACCCGTTTTTTTAATCTATCTCGAATCAGGCTATTATTTTCTATGTTTTGACAAAGCAACCCGTAAAAGGAAAAAAATATAAAAACATTATCGTAACCATCCATTCATATTACTAAATATTTTAAATTTGAATATTTAAATTAATAAAATATCTAAATTAAATCTAAATTAAATCTAAATTATTTGTTTTTGTAAAGATACATTAAAAAAATATTTTTCAAATTTTTGATAATTAATATATTACCTATATTTGAGAAAATCTAAAATAATCTAAATTAATACTTGAATTTTAGGAGTTAATTTTAAATATAAAATAAATAATTTTATATTAATATTTTATTAAGTTAATTGGGAAATTTAAATTAACCTAAAATAAAAGTATAGATATTTAAGATAATCAAAAATAATCTAAATTTATATCTATATTTTTGAATTAAATATAAATATAAATTAAAATATATTTTAATTAAATAAAACGTGTGAGAATGCAATAATTAAAATATTTTCTACAGATTCTAAATGTGTATCTCTTTTAATAGTATATATACTTATTTTGACAAGTAGGATATATGAAACAGGTGAAAGA